TAAGGTGTCTAAGTCTATAACTATTTCTGGTAAATACTTGACCCGACCCGGCATGATCCATTTGGGTTGCATGGCACCATGCAATTGGATAAACTAAATGAGAGAAATAACACATATGGTTTATTAATATATTATAAGTTCTAATATATTAATAATATTATTTAATTAGTTTGATCAAGAATTAATTTAGAATTAATTAAGTGATCAAAAGACAACTAATTAAATGTATGGATTGATTATGTAAATCATCCATAACTTATATAGTGGGCTAAGAGGCTCCATGGATAATCAAGATGGGTTATACCCATTGGATGGTCCATGGAGGCACCATGGGAGTTACAAACCCATGGGTCATGGAAATAAAGAGTCATGACACATTAGGGTGTAACCCTAGATGTGTCAACACTATATAAAGCTCATGTGTTCTCCCTAAAATCGGTTAGACAAAGAAACAAGAGGGCTAGAGCTGATTTTGAGTGTTATACATTCTCTCCAAGTTTACTCCATAGCATTTGGTGTTGTGTGAAGCATTTGAGTCATCACACTTGGGGTGCTAGGCTCACAAGGTTTCAAGGAACACCTACAACAACAAGGTATGTAATTCTATCTATTATTTAAGTTAAAATTGTTCCCCATGTATGCTAGATAGGATCATAGCCTTGGAAATCAACTTTGCATGATAATTAGACAAATATAGATCCAAGGTTATTAGGGTTGCATGTACACTTAGGAAGTGTTAGAATGCTCAAAACCCATCAGCACACACATGGATTAGGGTTTTTCTGGACTCTCAAGAGGCTGTAAGGGGGCTAAAGGAGGCTAATGATCCTTTAAATAGGGTGCAAACCCCCAAAAATTAGCGTTTCATCCTCCAGCTCCTACTCGTCTAGTCCTATCTTGGACTTGGCGAGTAGGTCACTTAAACACGTGGCCTAATCCGCTTCTACTTGACGAGTCAGGGCATCCAACTCGTCGAGTAGACCTTGAAATTATGAAAATTAAAACCCTAAAGTTATCACCTGAGAGTCGGGGTGTTACAAAATCCCAATTGTTTTTTTGCTTCATTTAGGCAAACACTCAGAGGTATGGTGGGGGTTCATTTTGAAATAAGGTTTTTCAAGGCCAATGGCTGACAGAAGGTTATCACGAATTCAGTCGTTTTGGAGGTTAGTTATGACTTTTCATCACCCATTAATCTTTAATATTTTCTTTTAACATGTTATCCCTTATTTTGTAGAAGAAGTGTTCTGGTTAGACATATTGCAAATGAAAAACGTAAGATACATTTTCAATGTTTCATTATCTTATTAGGAATATATATGTTTTCTCCTGAGTATAATTGATTATTTCAACTTTACATTCCTCATTTGGGTATTGTAATGTGAAAATTCATTCATCATTATAAGAAATTTTTTGGAGGGAAGAATATTTTTGGTATCATTTTCTTTACGTATTCAGTCTTTGACCGACATTCTATATAAACAGCTGCACCAATTTCTTTCCTCATTACCTTACCCTAAAAAACATAAAAGCTAAAAAGATCAATGATCTTAGTACTTGAGCAGATGTAATGACATTAGGACCGAAGTGATGGTGGATCGATTGGGGAATGTGCATGGTAGAGTTCAACAACCAAATGCTAGCAAAAAGGCTCTTCTAATTGGTTCTCATTTGGTGAGTAATCACCTTAATACTTATTAATAACAAGATTTTAACGTTTTAGAGAAAATTGCACATTATCAACCTTTTACCTAAAAAGGCATTACGAGTTTTTTATTTGCATAAAATATATTTATTCACTTTTTCTCTTCATTTCCATCATTATTGATCTAAAAAGCAGCTACCAAGTTTGATTTCTCACTTTGAGCTTTTTCAATGAGTTAACATTTGACATGGAAAGTGAAATGGCCACATATGTTTGTAAAAGTGTCAAAAAACTGTTGTTTTTAAGTGTCCATAAGTATAACATGCTTATGCACTTATAAAAAATTATTCATATAAGCAAATCAAACTTGCTAAGAAGATGTCCAACTTGATAAATAAATACGCCTAAGTATTTCCCACCGTTTGTTGTTTTATTTTTGTTGAAATTACCAATTTACCCTTTAGCATTCACTACCAAATATTGTTAGGATTGTTAGCTGTGAAAATTTATCTTGATAAAAGGTCTATTTTTAGATTCTTGGTCATTACTTAAAAAATCTTATGCCAAGTCAATGTGCAAAAGAAATCCTAAAATGACTAACATATTGTGTTTTTTTTATTCTTTTTCTTATACATAAGAACATCCACAATAGTAAAGAACATATATGCAAATTATGGCATCATATTTTATCTTTTTTCATGTATATGACATATGTATAAAATGATTTTCTATTTTTACAAAATGAATTTTTGCCTTCACATTTATATCTGATTCAATTAGTTAAAGATGAAAGTAACCAAAATTACTTGAATATAATTCTCTTTTCATTGAATTCATTTTTTTTTAGATTTAGGGTCACTTTTGTCGTAAAAAACTTGGAATAATGACAAGTTTTTCAATGAAATTGAAGCTATTTGTGAAGAAGGTATTATTTAAAAGAAAAACATTTTCTTTTCTTTCCCTTCTCCATTTTTAAATAAAAAAATTCCATATCTCAATTATGTTTGTGGTTATTTTTTATAATAAAACCAAACAATTTTTTATCAGGTTCAGTTGCAGCTACAATTACCCTACATCATCTTCTTCTTAATAGAAATTCACTTTTTCAAGGAGGATTGCAGCCTCATAATTACTGCCTTCGGGTGCTCAAGAGGGAAACCCACACTATATATCTTCCTCTTAACTACCTTGATGAGTCTCAAGAAGGCAACAAATCTTGTAATGATCTGTGTTATAAGTAATTCTGCCATATTGAATACCACAAGGGACACCATGTGAGTGCCAATATAAGTAAACAAATTCTACCATGTTGGCTTCTGTGGACACCAAGAAGGATTCGATGGCACTTTTTCGGTTGAAAATACACCCAGATGATGTAATGCGAACACATAAAATTGTCCATTGTTATTTTGATTACAAATTAAAGATAAGTTGCCTAAAAAGAAAATTTAGGTAGGATTGGTTGTCATGACATTAACCAAAAAAATCATCTTCAAATTTATAAACAAAAGTGATTATTTGGACCATGTAGATATTTTAATCTGATGGTATAGTTACTATTCATTACCGAGTGTTTTGAGTAAGTGTTAGTTCGTTTAATTTCATGTTCCTAACAAAACATCCCTTTCATGGTTTCTGTTCTTAATAAAAGACTATGAAATACCCTTCAACCACACAACCCCAACACCTCTTCCCTAGTTTTAGACCAGTTTTGAAAAAGAAAAGGCAATAAAGATTGACCACGCAACAATTGAAACAACATGCATCCAACTCATAAAATCTTTCATAATTATATTGAATTAACATCCTCCTTAATCCTCCTTAATAAATGAAGGTTTTTTTTTTGCCACATATCAATCTCTTATGAGTTTTGCCACTTGTCATTTTGTGGTATTTTTGAATAAATGTTTTTTCCATTTGTCATTTTCTCATTTTTTTTATCTTTCTTAATTAACACATCATATTTACACCTAAATCAATAATTGCCTTAATTGAAAATAACAATTAAATTACAATATTACAACTCATATAGTATTTAACTAGGTGTGAGACCCATGTATTACATGGGTTTATTTAAAAAAAATTAAATTTAAAATTTTAACAATTTGAAAATTTTAAATTTATAAGAAAAATGAGAAATTTTTTGAATTATTAAAATTAATAAGGCTTTAATATATTGAATACATTAATATATAAACCCTTTCTAATAAATACCTTACATATATATATTACCTTATATATTAAATGTGGAACTTTAATTTAATAAAATGAAAAATACAATAAAATAACAAGTGGAAAATAGAAAATTAAAAATTCTAGAAAATACCATGTGTCTAAATGAATGAGAAGAGGACATGTGTCAAAAAACCTTTATTTATCATAGTAGAGTATGTGTGAGCCCCATGTATTACATGAGTGAGTGTATTTAAAATAATTAAATATGTATAAACATTTGAGAAATTTGAATTTATAAGAAAAATGAGAAAAATATTGAATTACTAAAATTAAAGTGTTTTTTTTTTCTCTTTTAAATTTAAACAAATCATTTAGATAAAATAATCAAAGCAAATTAATCACATTTTATTTTAAAGTTTTGAAATTATAAAGAAAATCTATTAATGAAATTGATATGCATTTATTATTAAATTTAAATACCATATGGAATTTAATAAAATAGGAAAACCACAAAATTATATATGGAATAAAAATTAATTCAAAATAACCAAAATGACATGTGGCAAAATGAATGAGAGTGTGACAAGTGTAAAAAAACCTGAGAAGATTTAAATACCATATGGAATTTAATAAAATAGGAAAACCACAAAATTACATATAGAATAAAAATTAATTCAAAATGATATGTGGCAAAATGAATGAGAGTGTGACAAGTGTAAAAAAAATCTTCATTTATTAGAGAAGATATGTTTCCTTTTAAATTCAAATTTTAAATTTTAAATTTTAAATTTAATTTTTTTTTTTGTTTAAACCTTCATATTTAATTTTTTTTTATTTTATCCAATCCGTATAATATACGGGTCTCACAATTAGTGTTTTAACAAACCAGATAAACCAATTTACATAAAATTATATAAAATCAATAAAAAAAAAAAAAAAAAAAAAAGATAGAAATATTATGTTACATGCCTAAAGGACTAACAAGCATTTAGAATTTTTATATTTATCGTCATTGTTTTGACAAATCAAATAAAAATATTGCATGAGATTGTCATACACTTTATTAGTAGATTTATATAGAACCCAATTATTTTCTTCTTTTCAAGGTTTGACACCTCTAGACACAATCATAAACTTCAAAACTCTAGTGACTAGATTGTAAATAATGAAAAACCAGGGTGACGAAAATTCAAACTTTCAACTTTCAACTGTGGAAATTGGAATAATGGAGCGAGTGGTGGATAGGACAAGCACAAGTTTGTGGTGGTGAATGTAATATACTAATATGGCTAATCGGCTATGGCTTCGCCTTGTGGTGTCCTTTTCTCATCAGCGAAACTCTTCCGCCATCGCAACTGCTCTCCATTCTTCACCTTACAGGTACTATTTCATGTCTTATTTCTCTCGAATTACAATCGACATAATGTTTTTATCCATTTTTCTTCCTTCAATCTCTTCATCTGCAATCGTAAGCTACATTCATTCCTATTGCGTGATTGCACTCCCTGCTGTTTAAAATAGTCAGTTTAGAAAAACATGCGCATCGTAGCTGTTTGTTTTGACCTGAAATGTCATCCGATTATAGGGCTCTCGCAGAAAATTTTCTCAAGGTAAATCAAGTTGAATCTGAAGGAAGAAGGAATTGGGGATTACGTCTATGAATACATTTCAATCGAGTGCTAGCAAATAGGTTTGTCTTCCCATGAATTCTCACTGCTTTGTGAATTCGTGAATCAAGAAACTTCTCTACCAAATAAACAGAACAACTTGTTATAAAAAGCGAGAAACAATTACGCAAACGCAGTTACTTATTGTTTCATTGCCACTTGTTACAGTTTACGCACATCAAAAGTGGAATTGCGAAGGGTATCCAAGTTAGAACTATTCAAAATGCCATGGTCTATACATTCGGCACTACATAAACATCGAATCATCTTAACTTGTGCAAAATTCAAAAATGGGATAACAGAATTCAAGCATCCTTCGACTTTTCCCTCTTCTCTTCTAAACACAAATTCCATATTGAAGAATAATAGGAAATTGCCATTGATTCAGTATCATTATCATCATCCGCTCCAATGTATTATGAGTAATGGAGATGAAGAAGAGTTGTCTGATGAAGATGAGGAGCTTTGTCCAGTTGAATGCGTGAGAGAAATCAAGAAAGATGAGGAATTAGTCTCAGTTTTAGAAAAAGCAAAAGAAGCTAATTCATTAGTTGTGGTTGATTTCTATCGAACTTCATGTGGTAGTTGCAAATATATAGAACAAGGATTCGCAAAATTGTGCAGAGGGTTGGGTGATGAAGAGGCCCCTGTTATCTTCTTAAAACATAATGTGAGTTCTGTTTTTTTTCTTTTCTTTTCTTTAATAAATTACGTTTCTTTAATAAACATTTACATGATTTCAATCCATAATGCAGGTGATTGATGAATACGATGAACAATCAGATATAGCAGAAAGACTTCGAATTAAGGTATAAAAAGTGCGAGGTATTTCCTATTTTTTTAATTAAACATCATTTTTATTTTATTTATATTTATAGTTTGTAATAAATATACAGGCAGTGCCTCTGTTTCATTTTTATAAAAATGGAATATTATTGGAAGCTTTTGCAACGAGAGATAAGGAGCGGATTAAAGGGGCTATAGAGAAATACACAGCAGCACCTGCTTCTTCTACTCCTGCTGCTGCTGCTAAAAATTCGTAAATCGTAACATATTATCATAATTAATTCATTTTGGTTATTTTATATATTCTTATTTTGTGGAAGATGTGGTCTACAAAGATAAGAATGAAAAATTGAATTAATGATTGTATAAAGGAATAAAATCATGTTATGTCTATGAGGAAAGGTGAAGTTATCAACAGTTCTTTGATTTTGTTGCAAACTATAATACGATAGATATCTGTATCCCTTTTTATGCTTTTTATCTATCTGATTATTTTACAAATGGATTGCTTATTTTTATAAATAAAATTGAAAAAAAAAAAATAGTGGCCTCTTTGCCCAAAACATGGCAAACACAAATGAAGACCAACAAAAACTACAAAGGTCGTATGTAGGTAGATGCACTAGACACAATATCGTCCAAAGAAATACAAATCAAACTCGTCATAGCCATGCTTCATATGCGATGGATGTATTAGACCCAAATTTGTCTTCGTTATGCAATGAGATATTGAGATGCATTAGATCCAAATTTGTGGAGAGAGAGAGAGAGAGAGAGAGAGAGAGAGAGAGAGAGAGAGAGAGAGAGAGAGACCACACCGGTTAATAATGAAATAAAAAAAGGCAAATATAATCTTTTTATTTATATTTAAGAAAAACTAATAGTGTTAGTCATAAAGATTGATGGTACCCATAGTTCACCCAAAAAAAAGGTTTTATAAGGATTATTTAAAAAAAAAAAAAAAAAATTTAAGTATCATTTGTGTAATGTTGTCTAATATTTATAAGCATGTACATTGGAGGCATTGGAGAGGAGATCAAGAAGGCACTTCAGAAAGAATAATGCAATCTTTCATCAAACTTATTAGGTTGTTTACTTGTTTATACATCCATAAAATCATAGATTAGTTTACAACGCCTACATATTTTGGTGAGTTTAACACTTTCAAAATTATCATGTAAATGGAGTAAGTGTGAGTTTGATCCAAATTTTGTACTAAGGTATATTGTATAAGGTTTTGAATCTACCATAAAGATTCGCAAATCTTCTTCCTACGCTTCCTAATACTATGTTTTTACATAAATTAAGTTTGCCATTATTATAAATTATTTTCTTAATAACTTTCATAAATCTATGGTACTTACTTACCATGCCTTTTCTTTTAAATTCAAATAAATAAATCATTAAGAATAACGCTAACAATAAAACATCAATCTAAAAACAGAATTCATGAAACTAATTCATGTTACACAAAAATAAAATAATTATGATTATAATTATGATTTATTAACCGGAACCCCTGGCCCATAAATTAAACGGCAGCGATCACTGAACGAACCCACCAGTCGAGACGCCACCTCCTTGAAGAACATGGATGCTACCTATATAAAAATAAACAAAACATTCTTTTAACTTAATACATTATTTAATTATTTAATTACATTTAAATATTTATATTTCTCTAGTCATTAAAATATAACAAAAGATTTTAAAAAAAAACGACGAAAATTACTTACCTGTGAATATAATGGTGATTGGAACTTAAAATCTACAACAAAATGAAGGTTACAAGTCCCTGGAACAGGTCCTGGATTAAACTCCCAAATGTTAATTAAATGGTGGAAAACGCTACTTTTTGATGCAGTTGTCTGTAAAAAAATATATACAATAAAACAAAAGAGTTTTGGTTATGTGAAAAAAGAAAAGAAAAAAAAATTGTGTAAGATAAGTTATAAAGGTGATTTTATGACCTTGATTAATTTGGGTTTAATTAATTCGACATGAGAGACATAGCTTTCAACAAGAAGCTTAAACCCAATTTCCAGCTCAGCATCAATAGATCCATCAGAATGACGTTTCACTATGTCTGATCTTCTACACCATGGAAGAAAATCTTGATACATGTCAACAGCAGCAACAACTGCATACATTTGCTCTGGGGAATATCTAACAAAAACGATGAAAGAATCTTTCTGATTACACCATTGTAGGAGATAAGAAATAGGAAAAAGGGTGAATAACTGAATATGATTATTAATTTATTACCCCATAATACAAGTCTCTTCATGAACTTTTGATAAACCACTTTTATTCCCTTCATCTCCATCACCGATGCCAAGAAATCCTCTCCTTTGAATACTCCTATTAAAATGTGAAAAAGGCAATTCTACTTCATGATCATGACTACTAACGATTGGTTGACATGTTTCGACTCTTGAAATGCTTCTGAAGCATCGATTTTCTACTTTGGAATTGTTCCTTAAGCATCTGATTAACTGTCTACCTCTGTTATTGCACTTAAACATCTGCCCAATGGCCTTTGAAGTTGAGACCAGCGATGCCATTGGAACAGATAAGGAACTGAAAAGAAACATGAAATTCACATCAGAATGAAACCCTTGTTTCTAGGGCTACATCAATAGTCGTAGAAAATAGAAATTGACTTCATATTATTGACAGAATCGATTAATCTCGTGAGAAACCAAACGAATGAATATCTTAGCATTATAAAACAGGTTTTAGTTACGATGTGGCATGAATGATTAGGGAAATTGAAAGAAATTGCGTACCTTTGAGATCGAACTTGATAAACAGAAATCAACGTAAGAGATAAGATTTTGGGAAATTGAAGTTGAATTTCGTTATGTAACCGTAGAAGAGAGGTTGTGCGGGTTTTGAGGGGGTTAGCGTGGTTGAGATTCAGAAGATGAAGCCATGGAAGATTGAATGAATGATCGAAGAGGTTTTGGGAATGGAAGGAAAAACAGGGTATCCGTCTAATTTACGAGTGGAACAATTTTTTTGAATTTGAAGTGTTAACCCATAATCATTACCAACCCCATACATCGTAAATGAACTTATGAAAGCGATTGGGAAGCATAGAATGCCTATTTCCCTGAATCTGAACCCAAATCTAAACCCACATTTCAACTTTTTTTTTTTAATTAATTAATTTAATTTAATTTTAACGGATTTGAATAGACTATTATTTTTTAAAATTTTTAATTTAATCTTTGTTATTTTTGTTTTATTGTACATAATAATTTATTTATGTTTTAAAATAATAACAAAAAATATGGTGTTAAATAGACCCTACAAATCAAAGTCAAACTAAATTCAAGGTACTCAACATTATCAAATTCAAAATTTAATAACTTTTCATTCCAAAGCCAAAGGGTTCATTAAGGGGGATTTTAAATACACCAGGAATACAAGTCAAAACCACTTGTTGAAAACTGGTTAAGTTAATTAAAAAAATACTAAGTAATAATGGTTTTATTGAATGAAAGAGGTTACCGATTTCAAAACTATTTTAATATATTTGTTTCCTAATTTAAAAATTAATAGATTGTATCCCTATAATTTATGAATATTACACTTTTAATCCTTGTTTCAAATAAAATCACTAACTTATTCTTCTTTTTACTTTGTTATTTTCTTTTAACAGTTTATTATTATTATTATTATTATTATTATTATCATTATTATTATTATTATATAACAATTTTATTTATTCTTTATTTTAATACAGTTTGTATAGATTTCATATAAATTTTTTTATATGTTCAAATTATATTATATATATATATATATATATATATATATATATATATCAAAATTACAAAAGTGGTCCTTATGATTTGCTAAAAGTCACAAAGTCAATCCATGATAATTTTTTTTACGAATACGGTATCCGTGGTTTTCAAAACTTGCATGAATGACCCTTTTTGCTAACGTCCTATTGTACATAATTTGATTTTTATTAATAATTTTCATTCGTTAACCTAAAAAAACTATTTTTACGTGTTTATTTTTATATATTTGTCGGTATAATTTAAGGTGGTTAACCTTTTCTTTTGTTTATTTTTTTAAATTACATGGTTTTTTATAAACTTTTCGGTTTAAATTCGAGTTTGTTTACGTTTCGAACAATAAAAATAACGATCACAAACAATTAAACGAACAATAAAAAATATAATATGATATTTTTTTCACAACTATAACAAATAAAATTATCATTTTCATTTACTACCGTTTCGTCAAACAATGTCATATTTTAATTTTATTAATTATCAGGGACATTAACTATATGAATATTACAATTATTACGTGGTGCATTCGGTGGAATATATGCATTAAGTCAAACATTATACAATATTTCCCATCCAGCAGCACGTTCTGATTTGTGGTGACGCCAAAGTGACAAAATTGTAGGCATTGAATGTAATTCTTGTAAATCAACTTTTACGTAATGACCATTATAAACGAAGGCGATAACAATAGATATATGATGTGAAATATCTTGCGGCCCATGCCAAAGTGGAAAACAGGTCGACGAACCTTGTTTATCTAAAAAATAGACAATTACACCATACTTATTAGCGATGAGAAATCCACTATTAGGCATAATCAACCAATATTCACTTTGTGCAAAACCAAATCCAGTGAAACTCAATTAATTAAGTGGAATCAAGTGGTATTGGATTTTCATTTTTTAAATATACCACTTGTTCGTGCGCACATGGTAGCCCATGACTAGTACGCAATTGACATCCACAAATTTCAAGGAATTTGATTTGTTCAAATATTATTTCAAGTGCATAAATTGAAGCATTACCAACCAAACATCTGAAAATTGGATGGACGAAACGATGTCGTGCTATAATCATGATTGTATAGTCTTGAGACTGAACAACATCATGAATTCTTGGTAATACCGTCCCTAAATCTGATTGTGATGAGTCCAAGTATAATCTTACTTTGGCATGCTGACTCTCCACTCTATTGGTTGTAAAATTGCCAAAATGGAAAAATACGTCGGTCCAAACAGATACAAACTTTTCTTTATATCGTGTCAACCACGTTTTATTCAAATAAGTAATAACTTCTAAAAGATATGTAAGTATAGTTATATTATTTTGATTTGATTGTAGTGGTATTCATTTACACCGCACTAAAATAAAGATAGAATATTTATTGTAAATGTATGGCAAGTTAAAGGACTATAAATGTAAGTATAGTTATATTATTTTGATTTGATTGTAGTGGTATTTATTTACACCGCACTAAAATAAATATAGGGTATTTATTGTAAATGTAAGGTAAGTTAAATGATCATAAATGTACGTATAGTTATATTATTTTGATTTGATTGTAGTGGTATTCATTTACACCGCACTAAAATAAAGATATGATATTTACTGTAAATGTGTGGCAAGTTAAAGGACCATAAATGTAAGTATAGTTATATTATTTTGATTTGATTGTAGTAATTCATTTCCACCGCACTAAAATAAAGATAGAGTATTTATTAGTGGTATTCATTTACACCACATTAAAATAAAGATAGAGTATTTATTGTAAATGTATGGCAAGTTAAAGGACCATAAATGTAAGTACAGGTATATTATTTTGATTTGATTGTAGTGATATCATTTACACCGAACTAAAATAAAGATATGATATTTATTGTAAATGTAAGGTAAGTTAAATGACCATAAATGTAAGTATAGTTATATTATTTTGATTTGATCCAATCGTTTACACCACACTAAAATAAAGATAAAGTATTTATTGTAAATACATGATAAGTTAAAGGACCATAAATATAAATATAGTTATATTATTTTGATTTGATGGTATTGATATTCACTTAAACAACACTAAAATAAAGATATGATATTAATTTTAAATATAGGGTAAGTTAAAGGACCATAAATGTAAACATAGTTATATTATTTTGATTTGATTGTAGTGGCATTATTTAGACCGCACTAAAAATAAAGATAGGATATTTATTGTAAATGTAGGGTAAGTTAAAGGACCGTATAAATATAATTATTAGTTTTGCCTAATACGAAATGAAAAGGTGGGGAATGTTATTATCTTTTAAAATAGAGAATGGTATAAACTCAAAATATTACATCCATATGTGTATATATGTGTGAAAATATATATATATATATATATATATATATATATATATATATATATATATATATATATATATATATATATAGGGATGAGCATAGGCGGGTACCCGTCTCATTTGGCGAGAACCGGAACCGGCGGTTCCTAAAAAGTTAGAACCGGAACCAGAACCGGTCTAGGCGGTTCTTAAATTTTTGGATCCAGTCCCGGAACCGGCGGTTCCGGTTCCGGGAGCGGGTAACCCGGTTACATTAACTTTTTTCGATAAAACCGCAACTTAGTTCGATCCAAATCGAATCAATTCGGACCAAAAAGGGACATAATATATTCTAAACCGGTCTAAGTAACACACACATATTTATATGAAATACCAATATATATATATATATATATATATATATATATATATATATATATATATATATATATATATATATATATATATATAAACCGGTTTCGGCGGGTACCCAGCGGGTAGCGGTTCCAAAAAAATGAGAATTAGAACCGGAACTGCTTAAGGCGGTTCCATAACTTTAGGAACCGGAACCGGAACCGCTTAAGGCAGTTCCAGTTCCAGAACCGGCAGTTCCAAGGCGGTTCCGGTTCCGGTTCCAAAAGCGGGTACCCGGTTCCGATGCTCATCCGTATATATATATATATATATATATATATATATATATATATATATATATATATATATATATATATATATATATATATATATATATATATTAAAAAAGAAAATAATTAAAACTAAAATCAATATATAAAATGAAGGACCTAATGTAAAACTTATTTATGTTGCAAATATATGGAGCTTGTATATTATTTATATTAAAAAAGAAAATGATTAAAACTAAAATTAAAATATAAAATAAGGGACCATAAATATAAAGCTTATGTATATTGTTGAATTGGAATATATTGATTTAACACGAGGTAATGATTTAAATTATGATTAATAGTGTTTTGACTTTAATTACTTCGGTGGTTTTGACCCTAATTTTAGGTGTCTTTAACAACACCCGTTTATTAAGCAGCGAGTAAAAGTTAAAGGTTTATACTTTATAACCCATATAAAGTCAAGGGTTTATACTTTGTAACCCATATATTCAAAATCAAGTTCCCGTTCAAAAGGTGCTAATAATTTATACTAATTGACTCTAGCTAATGATCATTGAGTTCATATACTTAGTAACCATTCTAAACCCTCAAATATTTATATTAGTGTTATATATGATCATGAGAAGTGTCCAAATTCTTTCCTAAAGCCCTAAAATCATTTTGTAACATTATTGGGGAAGTAATTCATCAGACCATATGATCCGTGTATTTTGTAACGTTCGGGTTTCAGTGCTAAGCATATTTGTCAATGTAATAGTATAGGTCAACTACTGTAACTCTTTTTGAAGTAATAAAGATGAAATATTTGAGTATTATGTGAATTATGTGCTTATTAGTTAATTATAAATGTATAATTAATAAAGAATAAAAATAAGCGTCAAAATTAAAGAGTGAGATAAGTCTGATATCTTTATATAAAGTTGTAGTGGTCAAAACAAGGATTCTGGGGATATAAAGAACACCAAAATCCGAGTTATAACGAAGAAGTTATGACCCGTCGAAGTTTCACGACAGAACAGGTACGATACCGGGAAGCGTAAATAATGAATTTACGATAAAGCGAGATTTAGCCTTAGTGATCTAAACGAAAGTCGTAGAATATGTTAAACTAAGAACATAGATAAAAAGAACGCCCAAATCTGACTTCGTATGAAGAAGTTATGATTTTTCGAAGTTTCGAGTTACCAGTGTACAGCCCGAAATTCGAATATTAGATCGAGCGGTTTTTAGCCGACACGACCTAAACGAGAATCGAAGATCTCGTTAAAAGTAGCGTAACAAGAAAAATATGGGTGAAAACGGATATCGGATGAAGAAGTTATGAGGATTTAACAGACCAATCATGTCCCGGCCTGTTAATAATATAACTTTTAAAATAAAGTCAAAATTAGCCGACGGAGTCTAAATGAAAGTTGTAGAGTACATTCCCACCTTCGCATGGATATAAAGAACGTAAAAAACAGAGCTCGTATGCACAAGATACGAATTTTTGAAGTTCCAAATCGAATTTGCGAGACCTGGTGCGAAGTAGCTGACGTGGCAGTGCCACAGCCATCCGATACTGATGACAAGGCTCGCTTCTGATCAGCGCCACATCGCCTTGCCTTCGCCCTACGCCACGCGTACGAGATCCGGTACGCCCAGCGTACCTTCGGGTCTTATCCATCCGAAGTGCGAGACAGCTGGCTTCGGCTGGCAACTCTATCCGAGAGTACGCCCAGCGTACCACCGAGGTCCAGCCCCTATAAATAGATGCGAACTCTTTCGGATTTTTCACACCATTTCTCATTCTCTCTCTAAAATCTTTCTCTCTCTAGGGTTTTGAACCCTCCCTAAAGTCTAAGTGAACCCCTAGCACCCTAAGGAAGCCCCGAGGCTCCAGTCCCGAGAAAAAGGAGTCTTTCGGTTTCGAAATGCTGCTCCAATTAAGTTCCGGTTTTCGATAAAATTCGTTGTAAGTGTGCTACGCTTACATAATTTTTAATATAACTTTCAAATAATTATAGGAATGTTATTAGGTCATTAAAATAATTATTTGGGCTGTTATTATGAGTTATATTGAGTGTATTAACGCTTATATAATAATAATAATAATAATAATAATAATAATAATAGTCAGACTAATTAAATTGTATCGGTTATCGTTAGACTAAACCCTAGTGGTATTGATACTAGGTTTTATCAATGGAAAATCGTTTTGAGAGTATCGAAGCGTTGTCCGAGTGCTGAGTCACTACCTTTCAGGTGAGTGCATAGTTACTTTCAGCTTACACATATATATGAAGTATTTTATATAAATTACGTGCTATGTGTGCATATTATCTGAATACTTGTTATCTATGCTGGATGAACGTTTTATACATGTTTTCAATGATTTAAACTGTATATGTATTTTATATCTACAAAATGTGTTGGGTAAAACATGGGTAGATGTAATAGTTGCTGTGTGACAAAATAAAATAATGAGAGGCCTCGTTATAGATGTTATTGATGATCCAGTCATCTAGCGGAGTATAGATGACGACCACGAACTATTCTAGACAGTCCAGTGGAACACTAGCAGGCTCGCAACCTGTAGGTGTTTATTTGAACTCTGTGTTTATTTGAACTGTGTGGTCACCACATGTACTCCATCTCCCACATGGTTGCCTTAAGGACATTTAT